TGAAGATTATCATTTCTTAGAAGTGGCTTTTTAAAAAACTTAACAATCATTTGAATTTTTTGGATAGCGGTTTTAATTCCATCAAGCTTACATAGCTTAACAGCTTCTTTATTAAGTAGTAGTTCTTCCGAAGTGACAGAAGTTTCATAATTGGTTTCATAATCACCATCATTGACTTCTTCAGTATCCTCATCTAAGTTGTCACAAAAAGAATCTTTATCTTCTTCTAGATCATTTGCTTTTTTATAAAGTACTATAAGTTATTTGAGACAATCTTCCAGTTATTTTCATTACACTGGTTCCATCCAATAATAATCCAAAAATACGATTATTTAGATTTAACTCAAAATCTTAAAGTTTTGTTTCAATCAATTTAAGACCATGTTCAGCCTTCATTGAGCCCACAATTCTCATCATTCCAAGGCATTGAACTGATTTATCTGACAAGCGTAAGTTCAAGTTATTCATCTAGAGTCAATGAAAATCTATAACCATTCTCAATCATTTTTGATAAATTATTTTTTTTTTTTAGGTTTTGCTCTGTATTCCAAAAACATTGAAGTTATAGTTTTCATTGGACTTAGAGTTTTAAGACTTTGAACGGCCCAAATTTTTTGAACATCAATACTTTTTTACAGTTTATAATAAGATCAACAGCAACCATTAGAACCAAAACATTCTTCGTTTTTCTTTTTTTTCTAAAAAAGCAGTGTGCTATAACGATAAGCAAAACTAGTGAGCAAATCCTTATCTAAATGCGCTATAGAATATATAATATATATATATATATATATATATATATATATATATATATATATATATATATATATATATATATATATATATATATATGCCTTAAAATCCATTGAAGTTGGTAAATTTGGAAAACAAAGCTGAGAAATTATCAAAACTAAAAGCACATTATTTTACTTTTAGGACTTATGATTAGCTTACATTGCACACATTTGACACATATTAATACTTAAGTATCTCTACCAAAGATGATGAATGCTTGACAAATTTTTAAGTTTTTTTAAATTTTAAGCATTTCTCAAAATCTGTCCAATTAAGATCAAAATTTCAAAATTTAATCTAGAATTGCCATTCTAGAGTGTGACATAAATTATAGACATAATTTTAATAATTAATAATAATCCATTATTGTCACAAAACCATTAACCTTTACCCTCACCCCACCCCCACCACTCTAGAGTGTGATATGAATTATAGACAATTTACATGATTTTAAATTTACATAAGTTAGACTAAACTACTTTTACTTTTACATTTTCTTAAAAAAAGGTGCTGAAAGACTTTTTCTTGCCATTAATTTGCCATTAATGACTGTAAAACGCAAAAAATCATCATCACAAAGTTCTCTAAATGTATCATTCACTAATATTCATGGTCTTTGAACTAACTTTTCTTCTGTTGAGTCTCTTATCTCTTGCAAAGTTCACCAGACTTACTTGCTCTTTGTGAGAATAATTTGAGTTTGGCTATCTCATCTTAAGATCTTAGTGTTGATGGTTATCTTCCTTAAATTCAGAAAGACTTCAATAGTCACATGCTTGGTCTTGGCATTTACATTTGTAAGAACTCGCCCATTTGTTGGGAAACTAAGTTTAAATCCACAGACTTTTTTTTTATGCGCTTTAGTTTAGCACCACTTAACTCTATGTCTTAATAAACAAACCCTCTCTTTTAATAAACAAACAATTAATCTTATAAAACTGAATCTTGAATCTAATAACTACTTTCTGATCATCAATATAAATTTCGATCTTCTTGTTCTACAGTTGATTTTTTTTTTTTTTTGACAGTTGCCTATCAATTGTTATCTTCCTCAATAAACTTTATATTTTCTTTTCCAGTAACCTCCAACTTTAATTGTGGTTGCTTGCATTCTTGTTAGATGTAAAAAAAAAAAAAAAAAAAAAAAACTTTAAAGAATGAAAAGTTAATTTTTTTTTTAAGTGGTGCAAATTTAAAAAAATGATTAATAATGCTTATTTAACATAAACTTCCAAGTAAAGAGCGATGTTTTCCTATTGCCCTAATTTTGAAACATCTGCAATCTTCCTTAAATATGTTCTTTATAAAAAATTACACTGTTTTTTAAAAATTTGCTTAAAAAATGTTAAAAATTTGTTTTTTAGTTGAAATTAGTTTATAATTAGTTTATATTATTATTTTAAAAAATTACTTTTTTGTTACACAAAACTCTTGAACAATTTACAATTTTTTAATATTATCAATAATTATATAAAGGTTTCAAAAAATAATAATCATTTATGAAAAGTTAAATTTTGTAGACATTAATGCAATAACTTATTTTTTAATTTGGCAACTGTTTTTATGATTTAATAACTTACTTTCAAATAAAATAAAAGTAATTCACAAATCATTTATTTAGAAATCAACCGGGTATTGGTTTTGATAGAAAAACTGTTTTTCTCAAATCATTCACATTTATTGGAATTCCTACATTCACCTATGGAACTTGTGGTAAGTACTAGTAAGTATTCTAAAACTTTCTTAAGTACTAGTGAGTATTATGAAACGTTTGTTAAGTTCAGGTAGGTATTCGGAAGTCGCATTTTATGGAATCAAATTTTTTTACTAATGTTATGCGCCACACATTTTGGAGTTTGTCTTAAGGTTGTGATGTATGATTGTTTTTTCAAAGTATTTTTTTTAAGAAATGTATATTGACCTAGATATTTTTTAAAAATTAGAAGATTTTTGCTATTATTTCATGTTACTTTTCTATATATTTCTTAATTTTTATAATGGTTTTCTTGCTGTTCTCACATGAAATTATCATCAAAGAAATGTTGTTGTTTTTATTAAAACCACTCCAATATTTTTACCTATTTTTTATTCACTTGCCAAATTTCATCAAAAATAAATGTGTCACAGATACCTCTCTACTCATTGCAGAAAAAGTACCTAAATTTTTTTTTCTCAAACAGAGAAAAAACAAATTTAGGTACTTTTTCTGAAATGTGGGCTAGGGTACTCTTGATGTGTGATGATAGGGTGTGTTTGAAACTTAAACTTTTTAAAATAATAATATTAATAATATGACATTATAAAAGACTTCTATATTTTCATATTAATTACATTTAAAAAAAACAACATTAAAAAAAAATTACATTTTTGATGTTACAAAATAGCAAAGCTATTTCTACTTATAACCAAAAACTATGCGATTAAGATCTGATGGAATCTAAAAAAGTTTCCATTGATTTTAGATTATCTGTTTAATTTGAACTAAATAAATCTTACAAGTATAACTACAACATTGATTTGAAAATTTTTTTTTGTGTTTTAATTTGACTCACCTGGTATTTAGATCTTTTTGGATAGTGCATACAACATCCCAAAGGCCAGTGCTTTTCCCAAACACCCATATTGTCCGTTGGCGATTAAATTTTATTTAGTAAAGGTGCTAGCCATCTTCCACATAATTCTTTGTCACTTGGAAATTTGTAAACTTTAAATTGCTCATTTGTACTGTCATAATTTCCACAACAATTACCTACTGAGCATTTTCTAGACAATGCTTTTATAAATTTATTTTTAAATAGAGAATAAAATTTATATTTTTTAAATATTATAACCTTAAAAACAGGTTTAGTTTAGTACAACAATAACTTAAGTTTTTATGTTAAGTCTTATGTTTTTTTAATACTAAACTTTAGTTAGTACTAAAAAAGTTACTTTAGTCTAAAGTAACTCAAGTACCCCTAATTTTGTTAGTAACAGTTTGAAGACTTTATTCGCATCAAAACATAGTTATACACAAAATCAAATCTTTGTACAATAGTATGTTAAAGTTGTTCATTTTTTATCATGAAATATTTAAGTAGTTATATTTATGGTTGCAATACAATCATCATATAAACATCTTAATAAAGTACTTTTACTACTTTAAAAGTACTATAAAAAGGTTTAAAATAAATTAATTAAAGTTAATACATTATATAATCTAAATAAATCAACAATTGTTGCAGCTTATCAATAATCTTTAAGTACGACTCTTTTAACTCAAGCTATGATAAAAAAAAATATGTTGGTATATTGAAGGCGCTGAAGTCAGCCCTCCCATCCATTTCACATCAATTCCATGCCTTGCGTCCCGGACTTTAAGTAGTCCCTAATTATTATTTAAAACACTGGCATAGCAACAGGGGGCGAAGGGGGCAGTAGTCTCCCAACTAAAAAACTGAGAGGGCAGACCTTGCATTTAGAACCCCCTCCTCCCTCCACTTCCTAAACAGTTTTAAAAAAACTTTTATAATAGCAACAGTGGGATTATCATTTTTTAGTCATTTTTCAGTCATTTTCCAGCACCCCAACTTGCGTGACCTTCTTACACCACTGTATTAAAATAAATATATATATATATGTATATTTTAGGCTTTGTATTTTACATATATTTGTTAATATTGTTAATTCGTTTTTTTCAAATTAAACATAATTTAATAATTTGCTTATTAATTTGTTTAGAGTCAGTTATTTATTTTTTTAGTTATTGACTTTAGTGTTTACCTGTTTGTTACTAGTTTTTGGTTATTTTTTCTGATTGTCGCACATTTTTTGTTACTTCAATTAAAGTGTTTCTTTTTTTTATTTCTTTTTTTATTTTTCAAAATGCTTTTGAATTATATATCTCTTGTTTACCTAAGTTGTTACTCATTTTTGTTATCTTTAGCTTAATTAGAAAAAAGTATTAGTAAAAAAAGTCAAATTTTGATTATTATATTTATTAGGTTGAATATTTTTCAATTATATTTTTTTTTTGTGTTTCGTTTTGAGTGTTTGTGTTACATCAAGTAGATGTAGATATAGATATTATTAAGAAAGCATGTTAATCTAACCATTAATACCGAGTTTGTTTATTTTCTTTGTAAATGCCTGCTTTATTTATTACCTTGTATTTAATTTTATTCTTTTTTTTAGATGATTTTATATAAAACAGTAATTAAGTTAAATGATTTGTTTATATTTGGGATAGTGGCTAATTTATTTGGTTATACTCTTGGATTCGATACCACAGCAAAAGAAAATGTTCATATCAACAACCTTTACTTAATGCCAAAATAAAACTTTTAGTTTATTGCTCTGAACCAACCACTGTGAAGGATAGCTGATGATTTTTAAAGCCATATGTGTAATGCAATGAATTATAAAAATCTGAATGAGCTATAGTTTTTTGGAAATCTTTTTTTTTTGGAATATTTTACAATATATTATAAGTATGTTTCATTAATAAGCAGCTTATAAACATGATTTCAGTTTGTCTCATTGCAGTGGAAGATATTTTGAATTACTATTACAGTAGTAAATGTTCAGCAATGCCAAAAAAAGATCATCTAATGCAAAACTTTGTTGTATATCGACTAAGTTAAAAATCAGACATTAAATTTTTAAATCAGACATTAAATAATGCAATTTAATATAACTTTTTTATAAAAAAAAATGCAATTTAATATAACTTTTATTGATTTTTAAAATTGAAATACCTTAATTTTTAAATCAGACATTAAATAGTTTGCAATTTAATATAATTTTTATTAATTTTTAAAATTTAAATTTTAAATGATCTGTGTAGGTGAACTAAAAATTTTCAAATCATAGAATAATTACAATTTTTTCTTCAAACTATAGGCCGGGTGAATAAAAATAAGCAATTGCTTTTACTCAGCGTTTTTAGAATAATTGTTCAGCTTTACATGAATAAAAATTTGAGCAATTTTTGTTCAAAAAATTTGAGCCAGTTTTGTTCAAATTTTTATTCATGTAAAGCTGAACAATTGCTGAGTAATTGTTCAAATTTTTATTCATGTAAAGCTGAACAATTGCTGAGCAATTGTTTTTTATTCAACCGCCTTAGTATTTTTTTTTTCATTTTTGAATTATTTTTTATTTTATTTGGAGAGTAAGGATGAATATGAAACTTTGAAATATCTTGCATTATAATAAATTTTTTTTATATCGCTAATTTGGATTTTAGATTATGATATAAATGTTTATATTATTTAAATATATTTTAAATATTAAGGTAAAGAAGTATGAAATTTTGAACAGTAAAGATAGCGGTGCAGTTTCCTTTTTTGTCTCTGGCGCTTCTGGTAATGTCAGGGGACCAGAGTTCACAAGAGCCAAATTCATAATTTTTTTTTTTTTTGGCAGGGTAGGGGTCAAGGGGAGAGGGTTAGATACTCCACCCACTAAGTTAGTGTATGCATTACTCTCTTATATATGTTGTAATGTAGTAAGGTTTTATTTTTATTTTTGAAACAAGTTTCACTCATTAATAAACTAAAAACATAATAGTTAAAGATTTTTTATACTAGTGTGTGTTAAACCCTCACCATACATCGACCCTCAACTGTAAAATAGACTGCTTATATTTGCTTTTGGTCTGAATTAAAATAAAGCAATTTTTTCTATATAAAAATTTTAAATTTAATTAAAAAAAATTTTATGGAGAATTATACTTTTAAAGATAGTTAAAATGGTAGTTTGTTGCCCCCTCTAACCCCTTGGATACACTCGTGGTCAAGGGACAATTTACATTTGTAGTTCTCTCTCTAATATCATCCTTTGATACTAAGTTATAAGCATTTAGATAAGAATTGACAAAGTTAGAACAACTTAAGTAAAAAAAAACTGTTTTGACCGCAGTTTTTTCAACAAATCCATATATCAAACATTTGTTACATAAAACCTCATAACTTTTTTTGGAACTGTTCAATTTTGATACTATTTCATTTTTAAAATACTGTATTAAAGCTCTTTCCAACGATATATAACAATCTAAGTTTTAAATAATTTTAAAATTACATCCACAGTTGCACAACATTACAACACAGTTGCATCTTAACTAGTGAGTATTATGAAATTTTTGTAAAGTACTAGTGAATGTTACATAAGTACTAATGAGTACTAATAAAACTTTTATTAAGTGCTACTATTGAGTAAAAACCAAACCAAATTTTTTTTTTTAATGTTAATTTACCTCCCCAAAGCAGAGATGGCCACTATAGTCAAGGAAACTTCTATAATTGTGGTTACAACCCTCTCTCGACTTTATAACTCCGAAACACGAACTTTGACAAACAAAGCTGCTCTGTGGAGAAACAAGTTGAGCGCGTTAATAATAAGATAAATACATAGACTAAAATATAAATGAAAATTTTAACAAAAATAACAAAAATTAGAATAAAATATTAATGATAATAATAAATAATAAGAATTATTATTTTTTGATAGAAAACCACAAAATACTTAACTACATCGTTAATGTAATAAATGTTATTAAATAAAACTTTATTATAAACACAATAATGCGCTAAAACTTTTGATCATATAAACCCAAGTTTAAAGTATAGAAATAAATATTATGTATATAAATATTATGCAGTCAATAAATACAAGTTTTAAAACCGAGTAATATGATAAAAAATGCAATTATTTATTATCTTATTACTTGGTATTAAAAACTGCTCCAACATTTAGAAGGATTTTTTTTTTTTTTAATTTAAAAATTCTTTTTATTTTTACTTAATATAATTTATTTTGTAACAAAAGTTTTTTTTTTCATTGTTTTATATCTGAAAATAGGTAGAGAATGGAATCAGAAGTAAGGAAATGGTGAGCACGATAAAGAGAAGCAACCTTAGCAGAAGCTAATTTAGCAATCAATTGTATATATGGTTTCCATGAAAGGTCAGTAGTAAGAGATAATCCAAGAAGACGTAAAGAGGAGGACTCAGTAAGAGGATTGCCATTCATTAATATAAGAATGTTGACCATATTACGGTAGTTGTTTGCAGTAAGCAACTGGGTTTTTTTAGAGTTGAAATTCACAAGCCACTGTAAACCCCAATCTATTACTGAAGTGAGATCGGATTCAAGATCAGCTGCTTGTTCTAGGTGATCAAAAAGAGAAGACTTTGTGTCAAGACAGGAGTATAAAGTTGAGTCATCAGCAAGAACTACTTTAAATGAAAAGTTGTCAGGAAGATTATTTATATAGATAAGAAACAAAACAGGGCCCAGGATGGAACCTTGGGGAACCCCAGAAGTTACTGGAAATAAAAAAGAGTGTTGGCCTTAAAGGATGACTTTAATAAACCGGTTAGAAAGAAATGGTTTGATAATCTCAAAAACTTTCCCAGAAACACCATATGAAGGAAGCTTATGGAGAAGACCAGCATGCCAAAATTTGTCAAAAGCTTTAGATATGTTGAGAGCAATAGCCCTAGCCTCACCGCCTCCATCTAATGCACAATAAAATCTTTCAGTTACAGCAGTTAGCAAGTCGGCCGTAGAGCGAGAGGATCGAAAACCGTATTGATTGTCTGACATTAGTTTATTTGACTCAAGATGAGATGTGAGGAATTTGTTGATCAAAGACTCAAAGACCTTGCTAATAACAGAAAGAAGACTGATTGGACAATAATTGGAGGGGTCAGAATTTTCTCCAGAGTTTTTGAAGATTGGAACCACAGATGCCAGTTAACCAGTGTTCGTCTTAATGAGATTTTATTGTATTTTGAAATAGTTGCTTGTTTTTTAAATAACTTTTTAAAAACAGCAACTTTTTTTTTATTTCAAAAATTAGTTAAATATAAAATGACCTCATTGAGAATATCTATTCCATTTACACTTATAAGTGAGAAAAAATATTATGTAAATTTAAACAAGTTTTGTTTCAAAAAATTGAAATATAAAAAATAATAATTCTAAAATTACTTTTCTCTAATTTTATTATATTGTTGGTCTCTTGTATTATAAACAATAACAACAATATAAGTAATGTGGAATGATGCAATATAAGCAATTCTCTCAGGAATAATGCTTTAAGGTGGTAAAACCTCACCCTAAATATCTCCTATTGTTTTATGATTGCTGACTATTAATGCTCTAAGGAATTTTTATTATTGTTAATATCTTTCTCAGATTTTTTTTTTTTTTTAATTTTAATTTAGTTCCAAGTTTTGTTGTTTTTTCGGGAGAAGTTGAGCTTTATAAATCCAAAACTTTTGAGGTAAGTTATTTGGTCATTTTTAATTTTTTTTATTTATTTGGTGATGTTTTTTATCAATTTTTTCTGTAAACTTCATATAAAACCTGATGTTTTTGTTGTATTTTATACATCAGTATTTTTTGTAAACTTCATATAAAACCTGATGTTTTTGTCGTATTTTATACATCAATATTTTCTGCAAATAATATATAAAACCTTTGTACTTTATATATCATTTGTAAATGATGTTTTTTTGTATAAGTATATATTGTAAACTAAAGTTTGAATATAACAGTTTTTTGATTTATCTTATAGAACAAACTTTTATTTTCAGTTAAGGGTGTACTTAAGACAAAGTTTTTCAAACACAAAACTACTGGCTTGATTCTAAAATTAACTACTGGCTTCTTTAAAGTTTTCTAAAATTATCAACACATGTTGTTGAACTTTCTACAAGTATCATTATTAATAGTTTAAATATAAAATTCTGTCAAACAAAAAGATTTTTAAAAAACTTTACTAGTTTAAAAAATGTCCTTCGTTATTTATTTTTACAATTAAAATCTAAAATTTATGAGATTTTATATTTTATTTGTGAAAAAACACTGTATAAATGAACGTTTATACCCAGAACCAATCTGTGTTTAACAGAACCAATCTGTTAAACACAGATTGGTTCAGAATTGGTCAATATTTAGTCAAAATCGGTCAAAAAATAGATAAAACATTTAGCAACCTATTATTGACTAAAAATCGACGCTTGATTTGAAATTTATATTTCAAACTTTTTTATATATGCATTTACTAAACATCGATCTAACGTTTGCCAAATAATTAAATTACATTTGTCAATATTGCAATCCTTTAATCGATCTAAATTAAAATAAAAAATGTAAACATTTATAGACTTGAAATCTACGCTTTAAATCTTTTAATATAAACATTTATTAAATGTCGATCAAATGTTTACAATATTGACTAATATAAGTTGTTGTTCTAAATGTTTGATCGACGTTTAATAAACGTTTATTATATTATAATATAGCAATATAGCTATTGGTCAGAAGACTCACATAACATCTTAAGTCATGTGGTTTAAATAAGCATAATTAAAACCAACATTAAATATATATATATATATATATATATATATATATATATATATATATATATATATATATATATATATATATATATATATATATATATATATATATATAATATATATATATATATTATTGGCTAAATAATTAAGACTATATAAAATAAGACTTGAATGGTTGCTTGCAGTAAAATGCCCCATCCAAGCAAATAATATGTAAATAATAGATTAAATATAAATGTAAATAATGTAAATAATAAATAAATAAAGGCGTAAAAAAAAATAAAAAATGAAAAATAATAAATAAGTGTTTAAATGTGTTTCAAGATTCACTTCCATAAAGCAAAATGACTGATAAATAAATAATAGATGAGTGTTGGGTGTATCATTTTAATTCATGGAAGTTAAAAAGCTCTTATCATGGCAATTTACCTTCCTAAATTATTATTATTATTATTTTTAAACATCTTTGCCTCCAACAAGACTGCAAGCAACCACTAGTTAGAGTTGGAAGTTATTGGAAGAAAAAAGATAAAGATTGTAGTGCAAGATAATGATTGACAGATGACTTAAAAGATTGCAAATTATATGAATCAGGAAAGCAAGATGAAGGAAGTGAATTCCAAAGAAGTGATGTTCGAGGAACATCAGTTCTTTGGAAACTAAAGGAATAAGAGTTTTTGGAGCACTTAGGAACAGTCACAGAAAAAGAATGAGACTTAATTAAATGACGAATAACTCAAGAGCGAATTTTAGTAGATGGCACAAGAGACGCTAGCTCTTTAGAGCAGTGCTTATTATAGTAATTGTAGAAAAGAAAAAAAGAGCCAACATTACGACAATGTGATAATGGTTGAAGGTTGGCTGCAAGAGCAGTTCCAACTATTTTTTACAATGCGTTTTTGCACCTTGTCTAAAAGAGAAAGGGCATCATTAGAAGTTCCGTCCTATATATGGCAACAGTATTCCATATAAGGCTGAATTTGAGATTTGTAGAGATTAGATATGAGAATATCTGGAAGATTGTTAATGTAAATTAAAAAGAGAATAGGGCCAAGGATTGAAACTTGAGGAATCTCTAAGAACGCAGAATAAGAAAAAGAGTGCTGTCCATCAAGGAAAACTTTTATACTACGATTGAAAAAGGTTTCAATAATCTTAAAGATGTTTTCAGATACACCATAAGAATTCCAACAAATCAATGGACTCCGATGTTTTAGAAATTATTGATGGCGACATTTTGACACAGGTCAAAAGTATAAGTTGCTGGTCACTCGTTATGAAAGTCCTGCTGCAAAAACTTTTTTCGTAAGTTTTATAAATAGTTTAAATTCATTTTGTAAACTCTAGTATGATTGTGTAAAAGTAGGTATTCATCTTTGCAATGATTAAAATGTTTAATAACTAAATATTTATTTTTTTATTTTAAATGCATTTTAGCTTAATTTTTTATTTTAAATGCATTTTAGCTTAATTGGATGGTACAGGAAATTTTAGAAACTTCCAATCAGAAAATCCTTTATATGTAATGTTTTTTTGTGTAATTCAAATTTTGATTTATGAATGCACATTTAAAATGCTAACTATTTTATCCTAGTTTTTTACGGTTACAAATCAGGTTACAAAATCAGACAATCAGGATACGAATGTAGAAGATGTTGTTGCACAAACAGATGCATGATGAACAAGTGATAGATGGTATTCTAGGAAAATTTTTGATAATGCATAAACCAGAGAAAACAGTGATCCCAAATATTTGTTTATTAATTATGAGTTTATTAATTTTTTTAGTAATCTTTGACCTAATCTTAATGTAAACTTTAACTTTCTGCTTATGAGATTAAATTTTAAAAATATTTAGGAGAAATTGTTACAATAAAATTTCTGCTGCAAAAAAGCTTGATCATTTACTTTTTTTTAATTATCGAAACATAAACAAGCATAGTGCGCAAACATTTTTTCTCTAATTCTCCACTATATGAAAACGTTTTATATAAGTTTATATAGTTTATACAACTTTATATATAGTTTTATAAAATAAAAGCATAGTATAAGTAGTATAGTGTAAAAATTTATAAACATATAATAATAGTTATAAAATATATAAAAATCAAGACCAGGTCTTTTATATATTATTTATAAATTTCATTACTTCTATAAGAATATCTTATTCATATTTCAAGACCTATATAGCTCTTATTACTTTTATAAAGTTAAATATTAAAAAGATAAAAAGTAGTTTTAATTTATATTAGTTTTAAAACTTAAATAAATTGAAATTATGTTAACTAAATCAAAGAAACCTATTAGACAAGATCGATAAGTTTAATATGCATTTATTTAGACTAAATCTTAACTCTTTATATACATTAATTAGACTAGATTTAAACTTAAATTAGACAAAATCTAAACGCTTTATATATGTATAATAATCCTATCATAGACGTCTAAAATACGTTTGAATGTAGACATTTTATGGATGTTTGTTCTGATTGCTAATCTAGATTTCATTCTAAATGGATAATCGACCAAATCTGAATGTTTTATCGAAATATTATTTTGATGTTTAATAGACGTTTGTTTGTTTAGTGGGTAGGGATGCATTGTGATGAGGTGTATTGTGAAAATGACTTAAAAATAATCACAAAAATGAAATAAAAAATTTTTGATTTAAAATTTTTTTTTCGTGGGAGTTATTATTTTAATTTTAATCCAGAAGCACAAAAAAAAGTTTGCAAAAATATTTATTAATAAGCAGAGCTTTCGAATGCGCCAATGGCGCCCTGATCAAAAATTGATAATTGCACCCTTATTTCAAGTCAAAAAAATTGCAAAATTTAAAGTTTTGTGAACGCATCCATTATCTATTTCTAATACAGTACATTATTATTTATGTGTAACTATTAATTCTCTGAATTGAGAAACGGTTCATTAATCAAAACTGACATATGAATCAAAATATTAGTTTTAAAACCAATAAATAAAAAATCAATGAACAAAATTTTAGAGAAAGGTAAATAAGCCTAAAAATAAATTTTTTGACTTTTTCTGGTTGCCCAAATATTGATGACAGAATTGCAGCTCACTTTTTTAGACTAATATTTTTCAAAAGATCAGTAACGCTATCCCGGCCCATGGTCAAATAGAGAAAGTTTTTTACAACCTACAGTTTACTAAACAATGGTTTACCCTCAGCAACTAACACAGAAATAGTGTTGAAAATCTGGAGCATGATACAAATGTATGGAAAAAAGCGTACAAGCTTCTTCTTAAAGATTTGACTGACTGGCTGCAGTGGATTCCCTTTTTGAAAATTGTTTTGCAGGCATTTTTAAAATGGCCAACTTTTTCAATGAGACTTTCTTTATTCACATCTCTCTGATGTAAAAAAAATAAAAAATCCAAGCATGTTTGCAAGCTTTATTTTTAATATAAACATCATCATTATTCAACCAGATGAAAACATATTGCTAACTATCCGAATCAACTCAAATCTTAAACCAATAATAAAAAGGTTCTTTTGTTTGGCTGTCGTGAAAATAAGCTGTGCTCAATGCTTCATCATAAAAGGACTTCAGTTTATGCTTTCTTTTAGTAGCGAGTTTAGTTTTGAAACCTAGCAGTCCAGCTACAGCCTCTTAGAAATTTTTTAACCAAGAGACCCTATGCGTTCAAGACTTTCCAGCAGCTGTTTAATCAAACATAGCTCGCCACCAATAGTAATGGCTTCAGATTGTAGAAGACAATTAACGTTGTTAACAGCAGTAAAGGTTTGTACCTTAACATAATTAGCAATACAAAGTCAAAAGATGATAACCATTTTTAAGACACTTGCTTGGCTGAGCTGCTCACTGATTAGATCCAGGTTTTCCATGGCATGTTTAAGAGCTGCTAACATTTCTTTTGGCCTCTTGACAAGTGGTTTAATGGCGTTGGTACAAGAGCTTCATTATCTCATAGAAACTCTATGCAGTGAAATTCCTTTCGCTTTTGTGAGGATCTTCCATTGGGCATGACTTTTACTAAAAAAATTTTACAAAGGCTTGACATTTTCAATTAATAGCTGATTCAACTTAATGACTGATTCAACTGTGAACACACCAGCAAAATTTAGACTTTAAGTGCTACTGGGAATGTAGCTTCCAAATAAATTTGTCTTATTAAAACTTGAACTTCCTTTTAAGCACCTGACATTGGATCCAGTATTGTATCCCTTACTGCAACAGTTATAAACAGTGATAAACATGGCTATATTGACTCCGTTCTTCTTCACAAAAGCTTCAACACACAAGAATTGTTCTTTGGTTTGCCGTTAATTACTTTTTCTTTCATAGAGGAGAAAACAAATAACAAAGATTATCTGCTCAGTGTGAAATGTATGGGGGTTACTATCGGCTATGATGCTGAAGTAGATACCAACTTGGATTTTTTTGCCAGTCATGATTATAATTAAATTATTAAAAATGCAACCCTTGAAATTAGGGTTCATTTTTCCTTATTTGGAGAGTTGCAATTGTATATAGATAATTAAAATTATAGATAATTAAAATTGATATTGAGGGAACTTTTTAATAAGATAATTAAAATTGTCCTCCGTTTAGCTGTCTCATAATAGATTCACTTTTAAAGCTTTGAATCTATACCAGTGGAGCTGGTAAGAGGAATGTCTGCCTTGTTCTAAAACTTATGGTGCAATGGGCTGGATTGATGCTGCTTTACACAATCTATAAGTCTCCTCCATCAATCTCTAGCTCCTTTGTTCCAACAAAGAAGAAACTTCTCCCCGCTTTTGAATACTGCTTTCTTGCCCAAAAGAGAGCAAGGGAAACAGAAGTGAACCTTGGTGGTTGAGCTTTAAACCAAAAAATATCTTTGTACTTTTTACTTATTAGACAAAGGCTGATAAAACACTTTCAAAGGAAAGATTCTATTCTAAGAATCATGGGGGTATTCTTGTTGCTTTAAAGTATGTGAAGAGGGTCCCTTTGAAATAACTACATCTCGATCTTTTTAACTCAAAACAACAAAATGGTTTGGCCACAAAAAGAATTCAGCATTAATTATTACCAAGTCAGGTTGAGCATCACATGTTGGATAAAGTTCCTCCTATTGACTCTGATAAATCACTTTGAAGTTCATTTAGCTCAACTTCAGGTGAATTGTTTGAGGCCCCCACTGATCCACAGTCCTTCAAATCACACATATTGAGTGCAGCAGGTGATCTTAAAAGAGAAAGAGAGCCGAATGGTTTCTCTTGGCTTTTATAGAGTCATTATTGTAGAGATCATTAAGGAATAAAATTAGTAACAACAACAAAGTTGTTATTACTTTTTTCCTTAAAAAACTAAAATTTCAACATTTCCACCAAGAATTTGAGCAAAAAATCTTATTTATTTTAATTATGTTTAAAGTAGACATTTCGTCTACTCTAAACCCAATGCTAAAACACAAATACTTGATAACTGGCCGAGTACTGGTAGAGGCGAGGCGGCTCATATGCGTAAAAATTGCGTCGTTATGATTCTCTTATTTGCTTTAACAGTCAAATTCTACTTGAAAAAGAAGCGCCTTTATCGTGAAATTATCAACAATGTCTTGTTTACTTTACCTTCTTCAACAACCAGAAAAAAGCTGTAAAAAGCTTGATTATTTACTTTTTTTAATTATCGAAACATAAACAAGCATAGTGCACAAACATTTTTTCTCTAATTTTCCACTATATGAAAACGTTTTATATAAGTGGTAATATAAGAAGTAAGTTACGATATTTGTAATGAGTTTAGTTGAAATATACTTTATATCAGATTTGATTAGCTACCCTTATAATTACCACAGCGCAGCATCTTTCGTGCAATCTTTTGGAGAGACGGTCATTCTTATTCTAATATCAAATATGATTTTTTTTCAAAAATTACATATTTGGTGTTAGGTTAAAATAAGCAAGACGGTCAATTATTTAGAAATTGTGATCTAATATGTTTTTTTTTAAACAAACGCTGTCATTTGTAACATTTAGTTTACAACATTTACTGTTTTTTAATAATGATGAGTTGCATGTAATAACACCAATATTATTGGTGTAATCATGGTAACAATACCGTACCACGCATTAAAAAAAAGTCTTTAGCTGTCAAGGAAAGTATCTATTTTAAATAAGTAATATATCTAAATAGTTCAAGTATATATTTAAATAGTTCAAGGGCTCAATTGTAAAATTCAAAAAATCTTCAAATCTCCTTTTAAAATTTTAAAAGTAGATATTTTTAAAATTTTAAAAAGAGAAGTAAGTTACGATATTTGTAATGAGTTTTGTTAAAATATACTTTAAATAGCATGATTTTTTTATTATTGCTTTTGCTGTATTTTATGTGTCACTTTCTGAGCATCATTTTGTAGATAAAGAAATCCGAGAAAGAATATACAATGCATTTGAAAAATCCACTTCCGCTTTGTGGCGATATTAAAGTAGATTTCTTTCACAAAGATTTATTTAAAAAGGTGTTTTTGTTTTATTATTGATAATCAAATTTTTCTATATTATTGTTTTTGTTTTTTGTTTTTTTGTTATTGTGTTCGTGTTTTTCTGATTGTAGGAACGCATTTTTGTTTTTAATATATTGTAGGAACGCCTACTTGTTTTTATTGTAGGAACGCCTGCTTGTTTTTATTGTAGGAACGCCTGCTTGTTTTTATTGTAGGAACGCATGTTTGTTTTTTGGTTTAATACTACTTTTTTGGAGCACGACATAACACAAACTCTCCCAATTACAAGCGATAAAAATGACAACGTAAAACGCATCTTGTTCAGTAAAAATGAGCTTGATAAAGCAAATAAAGACAAAAAACACAAATTTTTTCCTGAGAATTTTAAGGTTTTTAATTTTATATTGGTATTATATCAAAACTTTTATAAATATCTTTTTTGTTGAGTTGTTTTTTACCTGTACATTGATTTTTAGCTATCTATAAACATTGCACTTCCTGAAAATGGGAAAGAAGATAACGATAAAGGATGTAATAATAAAGAAAAGAAAAAATGTGATGATAAATTAAAATCTAAAAATGAGAAATTAAATTCTTCATCTACAGATAAATTAAATGAACTTAGCGATACACGAAAAGTTTCACCAACTTCCCCTGAAAATTTTAGTAGGACATTATCTCCGTCTTCTACTAAACGAGAAAGTTCTTCCTTAAACAAAGGTGACTCTCTTACTCGTTCCTTAAGTCCATCTTTAGACGCCGTAACTGTAGATGATGCACCTACAGTAGAAGGAGAACAATTAAGTGATGACGACGAAGAAGAAGAAGAACAGGTTACGGAGATTTAAACACTTAAGTTTTTTTCCAACGCATGTTTGTTTTTAATTTATTGTAGGAACGCCTGTTTGTTTTTATTTTAGGAACGCATGTTTGTTTTTGGGTTTGATACTACTTTTTTAGAGTACGACATCACGTCAATTCCTAAAATTACAAGCAATAAAAATGACAACGTAAAACGCATCTTGTTCAATAAAAATGAGCTTGATAAAGCAAGTAAAGACAAAAAACACAAATTTTTTCCTGAGAATTTTAAGGTTTTTAATTTTATATTGGTATTATATCAAAACTTTTATAAATATCTTTTTTGTTGAGTTGTTTTTTAACTGTTTATTGATTTTTAGCTATCTATAAACATTCCACTTCCTGAAAATGGAAAAGAAGATAACGATAAAGGATGTAATAATAAAGAAAAGAAAAAATGTGACGATAAATTAAAATCTGAAAATGAGAATTTAAATTCTTCATCTACAGATAAATTAAATAAATTTAGCGATACACGAAAAGTTTTACCAACTTCCCCTGAAAATTTTAGTAGGACATTATCTCCGCCTTCTAAAAAACGAGAAATCCCTGTCTCAAACAAAGATGACTCTCTTAATCGTCCCTTAAGTGCATCTTTAGACGCCCTAACTGTAGATGATGCACCTACAGCAGATGATGCACCTATAGTAGAAGAAGAACAATTAAGTGATGACGACGAAGACGACGAACAGGTTACGGAGATTTAAACACTTAAATTTTTTTCCAACTTGTCCGTCATAAAATAAAAATGACGATGAAATCTATTGACATCTTTTGAACGGCGTTGTAACCTTTTATAAAAAGTCACAAAAGATGGAGTTCCAATAAACTACACATTCTATTGTGTTTTATATGAGCAATTGAAATCAAAAATTGCATTAGCACCAATTAAAATTTTTATGGAAAAACCTTAATTTTTTTTTATTTATTCGATTATTTTTTAATATAATTCTCTAAAAAAAAATCTATTTTAAACTGAATATTTTGTTGATCAAGTGTTTTTGGTTTTGTTTTTTGAACAACTTTCAATTAGATTACAATTTTTTTGTTTAAATTTTGTTTTTGTTTGTTTGAATTTTGTTCTCTTAATTTTTATCTAAATTATGCACATTACATTAACTTAAATATAAATTTTGAAAAACGTTTTTAATTTATTTTATTACTCTCAAGTAATAAAACTATTTTTATTTTATTTTAAAGTGAAGCTGAAAATTTCGAGTTAGTATAAAAGTTTTATACAAATAAATTTAATTACGAATTTCATTTTAAACGTATCATATATATAAAGTTAAAGTTTTATGTCTTGAGTAGTGGTTTCTAGACCGAAAAAACAAATTAGAACTATCTGAAATCTACTTTAATCTATTTCTTACTCATTTTTTTAGGGATAGAAAGCAAGATCTAGGAAGTAATACATGTAGCAAAGGAGTTGCTACACTGCCCAACAGTGATTTTGTATCGGAACCAAAAATAGTTATTTCTTATGTATTTCGATGCTAAATTCAAAAATGACATATTAGTTCTAGTTTAAGAAATAAAAGCTATTGTGTGGTTACACTACGAGAGTGATTGAAAAATAAATAAAAAAGTTTTGCCTTTTGTATGGAGAGAGCGTAAAAACCATACAGATCACTATTATTTCTGTTTGATCCCACCCATTAAGGCAGGTTTCTCAATGAAAAAAATAGGAAAAGTTAAATATCGTTAGAAAATAGGCCTTGCACATCAAATAATTCTGATTATAAGTAAAATATCCTATAGAAAATAGACCTTGCACATCAAATTTTGATTTTGTTGATGTTGTGCCACACAGATTGAGGCAAGCAGAATTAAGTGATCTTGTTCGAAATCTGGACTTATCGCAGGAAAAGGCAGAACTTCTAGGGTTAAGACTAAAGCAGTGGAATCTTCTCCCATTTGATTTCAAGGTTTCACATTATAGAAAACAGCAGCAGAATCTGCTTTCTCTTTCTGAGAAGAAAAATAATCTTGTTGTTTGCATTGATGTTTTTGGATTAATGTATTGTCTTAATTTGAACTATGACCCAACTGAATGGAAATTATTCATAGACTCATCTAAGCTAAGCTCGAAAGCTGTATTACTGCACAACGGAAACAGTCTTCCTTCTGTTCTTATTGGCCATGCAATTTACATGAAAGAGACTTATATAAACATGAAAGTTCTTCTCAACTCAATTAATTGCAATGAACACAAATGGAAAAATGGTGATCTAAAAGTCATTGCTATACTTTTAGGAATGCTATTAGGGTATACTAAATACTGCTGCTTTTTGTGTAAGTGGGACAGTAGAGGCAGAACTTCATATTATATAAAAGAAGACTGGCCTGCAAGAAACCTCAACATAGAAGAAAAAAACATTATTGTTCTTCTTCCACCATTACATATTAAGTTGGATTTAATGAAAAATTTTGTCAAAGGTATTAACAAAGAAGGACAGGCTTTTATGTATTTAAGAAACAAATTTCGAAAAATAAGTGATGCAAAAGTTAAAGTGGGTATTTTTGTTGGACCACAAATACGCCAGCTTATAAAGGATCCTGCATTTGAAGAAGTTTTGAAGGGGCAAGAAAAGGAAACTTGCTCTTAAGGGAGTGATTTATGGATTTTTAGGCAACAGAAGAGATGATAACTACATTCAATTGGTAACAATACTTCTGCAAAAATACCATCAACTTGGATGTAAGATGTCCCTCAAGATTCATTTCCTACACTCAAACCTAGACTCTCCCCCTTCCCCCCTCCAATTATGAAGCTGTTAGTGATGAACATGGGATAAGGTTTCACCAAGTTATTTCTGTAATGGAACAAAGGTATTGGGGTCGTTAGAATGAAGCTATGCTAGCAGAATACTGTTGGTTTGTGTGTAGGAATGCTCCAGAACTAGTCTTCAAAAGAAAAGCAAAAAGATCACGATCTCATGATGATACCCCATAATCATCTTTAAACCTATTAACTTAATGATCATGATTTCTTTGTTTAAAACTATTAGAATATATCTGTAATAAAAAAAAACCAAATGTACTTTAAATGTTATTGGAATTTGTAAATTATATGTCATATTGTTCTGTTAAAAATCAACTGAAATAAAAATTTATTTCCATTATATATCTCAGAAACTAGAGCTAATAAAAAAATTTTGTTGTTGTTTTCTTTTTTTCTCAGACCAAAATTAGTATAATTTCAATAAAATTGCAAAAGATACAAAAAATTTTTTTTTTGTTGCCCAGTGCTATGGGTTAAATTACCATATTTAAGTTGTTTATAAACGAGCTAGAAATAAAAAAAATAATTTAGTGATTTTAGGTTTAACACAACTTTAAACCATTTTACATTTTTTGAAATTAAATAAGTTTAACCCTTTATGGGGCAAATTATGAAACTTTAAAAAAATATTTAATAATAGTTTCACATCAGTTAAGGGTCAAATTAATAGAAAATATAAATATTTTTAATGCTGATGTTAGTAATTTCCTAAAAACAATTGCTGCCATTCGACAACATTGGCTTTCCATAGTTAAATATATATTTAAAAAAATTTGTAGGAAGTGTATAACTTTTTTACAATTGTATAAAAAATACCATAATGATGAAAAACATTCATTATGTCATTAACATAATTAAAGAACATGTTTAAGATTTAGGCTTATAGGTTTGACTATGCCTAGTCAGTGCCAATACAATTTATAAGAAAAGTAAGTAAAAATTGTTGAATTTATTGTAACCAAAATTAAAATATATTGCATATGCATATTATAGAAACGAAAAAATATTGCTGGCTACATATATTGTTTTATTCCTAATAAGTAATACGTTATGTAATTTTACCATTCTAAATACATGAAGGAGTTTTTGTAAAGCCCATGGAAACCATTTTTGTTCTGAGTCATTTTATATTTTGTACCCGACTAAATTCAGTCTTGCAAACTATACATCTGTTTTTTGAATTGGCTAATGATCTATGAATCATAGCAAACATCACGGGGTGCAATAAAGGGGGATCAGCATGTCAGCTAAGTTGACTCCTGCCATAGACTTGTTATACTACTTTACAATGTAAGGACAAGAAACATTGATATGTGATTGAGTTTTTTGATCCCATCTTTTAACATTTGATAATGAAATGGGGGTAGAGAATGTTGAAACAATTTGAACACATTTGTTGTCAAATCTGTGAAATAGCAACTGCTGCCACGCCCTTTTTTTAAAAAAATTCTGTTGAGAGCGAACATTTTTTAACTCTGTTTGATCTAATTGTTGCTGTGTTTTAAATTTCATCAGTTTTTAACTTCAAACTTAAATCCAAAGATGTAAACCAATTGTCAAAAAAATTTATGATTCACATTTTGTGGAAGTGTTTCACAAAGCTTTTTTACGACATACTCTCCATTACACTTCATATTTTCAATAGCTCTAGAATACAAAAATAAATCATACATTATACCAGATGCTCCTGCTCTAACAAAATTTTTAAACCATCATTTTATGCCATTTGTCAATCATCACCCATATTATTCAAATATAAAATAAAAACCGTTATAAAAAATACAAGTTTAGCGTTGCAACGGCATCTGATGTCAATTATACGTGATTCGATATTTGCTAATCGCCAGAATCAAAGTTAGTAAAAATTTTTTCCTATGCCTACAAGCAGAAACTGTTTTCACTTTTTTTGTTAAGTAGTAATTGACTATCAAAAGTCATAATAAAATATTTTTCATTGATGCAAAGGCTACACTTTTTTGTAAATGGGTTATAAGATCGGCATATTTTATTTATGTTCCACTAATTATAGGCATGTTACCTGCGTCTATATGTTTCCAGATTTCCTTGGAAAGTTCCGTACCATTCCTATACCTGGTTGCGTTAAATGATTTAAGGTGGTTCGCAAATCTGAGCTTGGTAGTGTTTTCACTAATTCTAATGTAGGATTTTTCTGTTAGACTGGGATTAGATGATTTTAAAGTGGCTTTATATACAACATTTTTTGATAGACACTGGTTATTTAACGAGCATGTGGTTTTTTTAATGTAGACGAAATTTATATCATTAGCAGTGAGTTTGTTGCCCAAAATTTGTTGGTTATGTAAATTAATAATTGATCGAATATTTGGCATGCAGTTGCAACTAATTTTTATTGTGTTTCTGTTGAATATTTTGAGGAGCTTATGATGTAATGGAAAATGCAAGTCAATTAAGTTTAAGAAAAGGTGTCCAACTTTTGTTACCACATTTTTACTGCAAGGAGGATTAAACCATATGATATTTCTTTTTCGTTTATTAAAAATATAAGGATTTAGATTTGAATGATATTGGTACATTAGTGTGAAATCTAGACTTTTCTAATGCGTCTTTATAAATAAAAGCAGTCTTTTCGCTTATAATTAAAACATTTTCGCTTGAAGAATCGGTATTGATAATCTATGTCCAATTGAGGTTGGTAATTGTTTTAAAATGCTTGGTGGATGGTTGGAATTAACATGGATATAATTTAACGTACTATCAGGTTTATGGTAAGATTGAAAAGTGTTATTATTAAGATTAAATGTAACATCAAGGTAATTAACAATTTTCATATTAGATTAAATGGAAATACTGAGGTAAATTTGTTTGAATATTTGAATAAAATGCCTCTTAATTTTTTTTTATTTTCGAGCCGTTTGCGTTTTTAAACACGGCTAAGGCATCGTTTCTATACAATCCAAAATCAGATTTTTTCTAAAATTCTGAAGAAGAAGAAAAATACCAACAACTCGCACACCTCCGCTCTATTAAATGCACCCATGGTAACATCAAGCAAACCGCTTGTTTTCTT